AGGGATAATCCTGGCAGTGTGGGAAGGCTGGATATAGGGGTTCATAGGGAAAATACCTCCTATAGTCACTCTTATTTGGAACATCTCCTTTGGCTGAGATAGAGTAGAGTTTATAGTCTGGGTCTGGTGGTCTCATCTCCTCTGTTTGTCTCTGCCTGTCCCCAGAGATATTTCTACCTTCAGGCAGTCATGATGCTACCCATGGGTTAAAGCAAGGACAGGTCTCCTGCCAGGCAGCCTGAGAAGGTGGGGAAACTGGTTGACCATCTCAAGAGTTGAGGGGAGGTTTTCCAGATGGTTGCTGCCTGGCAGAATGGGTGAGGGTGCTTCACAGGTATGGAAGTCTGGATCTTCTACTGTCTGCTCAGAGTTTCTCCACTTCTCTGTGACCCCAGGAACTGGCTCATCCTCACACTTGAGCTCTGATTGTTGCTGGTGAAGATCTTGGTGCTGTGTATTTGTTTGTTTTTGTTTTTTTTTTGTCAGGGGGACAGAGGACAACTTGCCTCATGCTGCCATTTTGGAACCAGCAAGTAATTTTATTTTTGTCTCCCATTTAAATCCAATCCTTGACATTGTTCTTCCTCTGTCCCTAGATGTATATTTGGGCTGGCTTCAAGACTTATTTGGTTATAAGTAGGTGATTCAAGAGGTTCTCCAAGCATTTCAAATTTCAAAACAGCTTTGCATTGTAGTTGTTGTAAAACATCCAAGCTCATATAACAGTTAAAACTTAATTCTTGTTTTATATTTGAAGTGTCCTCCCTTCAGTCTGTTTGGGCTTCTGTTGGTGGGAAACCTGTAGTTAAAGAAGAAAGGTTAAGATCAGCTTTTCCTTTTCTCCACCTAGTGTTTAGGTTCCTTTTCACTGTCTTGCTAACTTTACGTTTGACCTTTACTGCTCCAGGGCTGTATGTAGCCAGGGAGGGAGAAGTTGGGGGAGTAGCATAGTTCCTACCTAACTGGTTCTGATGTGACCATCTGACACCTGCACTTTCTGATTCCAGGAGAGGTGTAAAGCTGGCCTCAATCTCTGGTCACTTGAGTGAGTTCTTCACAGCCTCCTCCCCTTCATTATGTTATCAGGAATCTCTTATCTACAGTTCTTCTAAAAAAGGCAAAGTTCTTGATTTTCACTGGTCATTTATTCTTTTGTCAGCTCCTAAAACTCTAGCTTTGCCTTTCAATTCTTTCTTTTGAGATCCAGTTGCCACTCAGAGACACCTGTGAGGACAGGATCCTAGATGACCCCAAACTAGTTCTTTCTCACAAGTGGCCTGCATCTGGCCACAGGAAACATTCATACATCTTTTACCCTAGCAAATTTTGGTCGTGCGGGACTCCCAACATAGCCATCTCTTTTTTGTCAAACCATCTCCCTTTCTCTTCACCAAATCATCTCTTGTCTTTTAGATTTTTTAAGCAGGACTCTGAGTTTATGCCCCAAACTGCAGGGATATATGTTACATTTTGAGTGTGCCCTTGGTAGCCTCTTTCCTCAGACTCAAGGAAAAGCAATACTCCTTCCAACATCTTCATATCAGTAGCTCTCTCTCAAAACGTAAATTCTCTCTGCAATCTCCAATTTCTCACCCTTCTATACCCTCATCAAGGGTGAGGAGTTGAAGTGTCAAGAACTGGTATTTGTCTAACTCTAAAAATTTTGCATCCTTATCTAGCCTGTAGTAGTATCTCAGTGCTTCAGCCAAGACTTTCTTTTTAGTGTCCTGATACCACCTCTTTAAAAAGAAAAACAATGGTGGAAGATTTGAATTTTATCTAGAGTAAAGTGGATTTAAAGTATACAATTATAATTCCTAT